GCATAAGAAGCCTCCTGCCGCAGCACAGGTAGGGGTAGCTGAGCGGAAGTGTTAACTGTGAGGGAGGTTGGTAGTAAGATGGAGGTAACGTGAAGACATCCTATAGACTCAGTGCTAACTTACTTAGCAACAAAGGATACAAATTCCTCCCATTCGTGGGTGATGTACAACTGCTGTGACTTCTCCCTGGCCTTTCTTCCAAATGTGACCGCATTGAATGTCCTCGAAGATTTACACAAAATGAAATATTAATCAAACAGCAAGCACCTAGGAAGCTAAGCATATCTTTTTAAATTTATTTTGATGTATGACGGAAACTGAAATGCCCAAGTCTTAAGAATTCTCATCACAGGAAAAGAATTCTGAAGCTATGTAGAGTGACAGATGTTAACTAGAGTTCTCGTGGTGATTGTTTTGCAATAGATACAAATACCGCATCATTATGGTGTCTGCCAATAACTAATCCAACATAGTAGGTCAATTACATTTCAATTTAATTTTTTTAATGTTTTATTTATTTCTGATAGAGAGACAGACAGCGTGAGCAGGGGAAGGTCAGAGAGAGAGGGAGACACAGAATCTGAAACAGGCTCCAGGCTCTGAGCTAGCTGTCAGCACAGAACCCGACACGGGGCTTGAACCCACGAACTGTGAGACCATGACCTGAGCTGAAGTCAGACGCTTAACCGACTGAGCCACCCAGGAGCCCCAATTACATTTCAATTTAAAAACGAATTACTAAACTGTAATGCCAGTAGCACAACTAAGTAGAAGTGTTACATTTTTTAAACTGTAAATATAGGTGGGTTTGATGGAATTACTCGAATTTGCTTCAGTAACCATTTTATCCAACTCTTTTGCAAAGTAATAATATTTACATATATCCTAATGGCTTCTCAAGCAAATCCTGAAAAGGCAAACATGTCCACTCCCTTTCCTCAAGTGTGGAAAGCCCTGGTTTTATACTAATCCTCTAAGATTTGGCTCCACTGCCATTTCTCATCAATGGCGCCAGACAGGGCCAACTGCATCCAAGGGGTGGTAAGAATCAGGCTCTTGTTTCTGGAAATCAAAGCTCTAAATAGGAGCTGGGCTGCTGTTGTATAAGCACAAGACCATTAATCCCCTTACCGTGCACACAACAGCACGTTGTTCCTTTTGAGATCACAAGACGTACCCATGAATAACTACGAGAGGGAGAAGTCCATTCCATGCCCTACACCGTGTAACTCAGAAAGAAAACGGCATGCCTGAGGTAGACTTCTCCCTCTCTTGCTAAAAATGACAAATTACCTAAAACCCAATGTTTGAGAAAATGAGGTAGGTAAATTTCCCAGCTTACTTCTGAAGGAGACCAGAGTTTAACCTTAGATTATATTTCCCCAGAAGATACCTTCAACATTTAAATTTTTCTGTGAAACTATTTTAGTAAACCTGGCCTAAACCTAACGGTAATCTCTCGGAAACATCTAGTTGCCAGTTTCTTCAAATTCACAAGAAAACTTCACACAATCTGATCTAATGAAACCAGAACTTTCTATCATTGAAATTTCTCCATACATCTTCCATTCTACTTTGAAGAAAATCCCAGAATTAGCAAGAAAACCACGTGATATCAAGATTTAAGTAACGACTTAAAAGAATTGTCTTATTTTGGTCACATTCAGTCCACCTGCCTATCACTTCTCCCAGCCTGCTTCCTCGATGTGGGCGCTATGCCTTGTGAGACCTGGCTTATCCATCATCTTAATGTCAGGGCCGAGCATACAGTAGGCTTCAGCAGAGCCTCCTCAACCGTGTGGGTTCAACCACAGGCGTGCAGTTCCCAGGCTGGCCTCAGTAGACCGCGGTGCGGGAAGAGCTTTCTGTTCCTCACACTCTGCCTCGCGCTGCTCTGTCAGTTCTTTCTCCTTCCCTCCTTGACAGTATCTGAAGCAAATGCTGTAGCTTTCCAGTCACTTCTTATTAGGAAGATCAGGGCAGACGGATCAAAACTCGGATCAAAACTGTCTTCCCGCCTGACACACAGCTGCTCTCCGTCCAGCAGTGCTGACCTGAGCGGTGTGCACCACTGATGTAGCCTCTGTGTACACCGGCCCCCTCCCACGTCTCCCCTGGCGGCCCCCCCCACCCCGCCTGCCTCCTCTTGCTCATTTAGGGATGGAAAGGGAGATGGGAGAGGCCTGCGGGCAGGCGCGCGAGAGAAGGAAACAGCAAAGTTCTTTGCCCTCGGCCACCATTACGTTAATTACCTCTGTAAGGACTCTGTCTCCAAATACAATCACATTCTGAGCTATGAGGGGTTAGGACTTGAACGCATGAATTCTGGGGGGGACACAATTCATCCCACAGCAGGTCCCCCCCAGAATTTATTTTGTCCCTCACCGGCACCAACAAAAGACCTCTGTAAGGCAGAAGAGTTCAAACCTGACCCAGTTGCCAGGCTACTGGTGTCTTCCATCCACCCATCGCACTCGAGACAGGCAGCCTCCGCAACGTTGTTTTCCATCCCGTCTTGCATTTGCGGTGCCCTTTCCCACACCGGCAGCCTGTTCACGTAAGGACGCGGCCTTCTTTATGGCGGCGCATGTAGAATGGGGCTCAGCAACTGAACTGCATCTTAAACACCTCCCGATTCATTAATCTGCCCTCATCACTCAGCCTCCTGACAGCAGTTGTGCTGGCACTCACACTGCCTGTGCCTTTACAGAAAAAAAGTCTGTTGACCCCTGATAAAGTTTTGCATTTGTTGACTTTTTCAATGGTCACTGGCAACAAAGGCTTCTGTATATCTTGACCACCCAATTCCAAGTGAAACATGTTTGCAAGTCAACAAGATCAGTAATTCAGACTTCTACAATGCCCCAAGTTAAAAAAAAATTCAAAAGTGAATTCCTCAAAATTCATCTAAAATGTTACATGTTTAACTTTTCCAAAGGATGGGAAACATCTGATTTAATATAGTCATTTACAATATGTAATGTAGGCAACCTGGAGGAAGTGACAGTACAATGAACACAGCTGAACTGGGGAAGCCCTGCTGAACCGCAAGAGGAGGAGATAAAGAGACTATCTGCAGGGGATTTGGGGGTTGCATTGTAAGATGACCAGGGGACTTTTTCTTCCTATATTTTTCCTTTTCAATTTTTTGCAAAGCAATCACCGTTGTTTTTTTTGTTTTTTGAAAAAAGTTATGATAAACAGCTGTGGAAAGAGTGCCACAGCTTAAAAGGCAGATGATAAACACAAAATATGTTTTTCTGCAACTGTATAAAATAGAAACAGAGTTCACTTTGGACACAACTTTCTTTTCCTGTATACTTTCTTCTTCTCATTTTTTGCATCATGTGAATATATTACCTATTTTTAAATGTGTGTGTGTGTACACACACAAATATATACATCGTATATTTGCTCCCTCAAATTCTACTCTTCTGTCGTCTCCTTCTTCATATTCGCAGGCCATGAATCATATATTGTGGGTATGAAGGAGGCCAATAAGTAGTGATCCTCTTTGTCAGGTTCTGAATTGTTATAGAATTAAGACGAGAGAATGAAGCCACTAGACCAAAATGAAAGGCCAGGTTGGAGAATACACCTTTAATCAGCAGGCAAATTTTCTTCCTAATTAAAAAAAAAAACCCCGAATGGAGATAAATTCATCTACAGTGCCCCAGGGAGAGCCATACTGGGGCGTCCATTGCACATACAGGAGTAATATGCAAGATATTTAACATCCTCATGATATGGCACCTACCAACAGCAACAGTCCTCATCTATAAACAACACGTACACCTGTAAGGCTATACAGCACATGCGGGTGTATGTCCTGCCGTGCGGGGCCTGATTCTGGACTCGGTGTAGGGAGTAGCACAGAAAACTGCCTGCTGTCTGAGGGCAAGCCAGCTCCTAAAGAGAAGGGAACCACAGACAGCTTCTCCTTCCAGCTCACCAATCGGGTCAGCCTTTTCTCCTCTCGAGGGGAAGGAAAAAGGGAGTAGGCAGAAACCAGGAGTGTTACTAGAATCACAAACAGACATGAAAGGAAACATTACAAATACAGATAATTTCTCGGGAAGAATAGAAAGAAATGAAAACCGTTAACACCTGTACTAAAGCTTCTAAGAAAATAACCAAGGTGTTATGATAGATGCCAACAGCAGGATGAATCTACACGTATTTATTTCCAAAATGAGCGCTGTGGACTGATTTGTTCCCCTTCCCTCAAATTCCTATGTTCAAGCCTGAACTCCCCCCCACCATTTGACTATCTGAAGATGGGGCCAGTGAGGAGGTAATTACAATTAAATGTGGTCATAAGGCCGGAACCTTGATAGGATTAGTGCCCTCATTAGAAGAGACACCAGAGAACTCACTCTCCCCACCCTCCAGTGCCCCCTCAACAGAGGTGACATGAGAACAGAGTTCTAGTGGCATCTGTAAGGCAAGAGAAGAGGCCTTGGAATGAAACCTACCTTGACAGCACCTTCATCTTGGCCTTGCAGCCTCCAGAACTATCTAGTATTTGAGCCACCACTGGGTGTGGTATTTTGTTATGGCGGTCCTAGCAAACTAAGACAATGAGAGTAGAGTTCTTTTCTTCCTTCTTTCCTTCCCTCCTTCCTTCCTTTCTATCTATCTATCTATCTATAAGTGAAATTGTATGTATATAATAGGAATGTAGAAAAAGTTTATGACATACGACTATCTATCTATCTATAAGTGAAATTGTATGTATATAATAGGAATGTAGAAAAAGTTTATGACATACGACTACCTCTAAAGGTTTGTATCATCATAGCACTTATTGAACAAACAGTATTGTTAGAACATGATATATAAACTGTAAGTTGAGCTACATTACAGAAGTTTTTTTTAATGTTAAAATGTAGATCCTTTTAAAAAATGAAGTTAATTATTTTCAAGATAGAATTTGGAATTAATGCATGCCTCAAATACTACTGCAAATAACCAATTAAGATTTTTTACTGTTTACTTACTCTGTTGTTTCTCTGTTGGGAACTTTCCTCATGGAAAAAGCCACCATTGCTTTGAAGAGATATTCTTCATTTGTATCCCAGGCATACTAAGAGAGTAGTAAAACAGAAAATGTAAAAAGGCACAGGATAAAAAATGGTCCACTGAAATTTAATTGTGGCCACCATGGTGTTAATCAGTGCCTGCCTGCCTGCCTGCCTCTCTCTCTCTCTGCCTCTCATCTTTCTCATACACTAAAGGCTGGAGACCAAGATAAATCACGTCACAATAATGTTCAGGATAGGCTTTCTTGGACATTCTATCATTCCAAGTGTGGTGTATTTTCCATTGCATCATCATCTTCACAATCTGCAGTATTAGCAGCCAGTCAACAAATAGGCCACTTGGACATCCCATCCTGAACATTTACAGGACATTTACATCCCTTCCTCCCTATCTCTCTTCCCTCATATACTGACTACGTCTCTTAGCTTCCTTTCCTTTACTGACATTGGTACAATTTTTCTTTCCATTTTCTTAGCTGGAAATTTGAGTGTGTGCTCATATTATGGATTGAATTGTGGGCCCCCCCACCACCATGTATATGTTGAAATTGTAACCCTCAGTACCTCAGAATATAACCATATTTGGAGATAGTGTCTTTACAGCTGTGACTAAGTTCAAATGAGGTCATTGGGTGGACCCTAATCTAGTATGACTGGTGTCCTTGTAAGAACAAGAAAATTGGACACAGTCACATAAAGAGGGAAGACAGTCATCTGTAAGCCAAAGACAGAGTCTTAGACTAGATCCTTCCCTCATGGCCCTCAAAAGGAACCAACCCTGCTGAGACCTTGATCTTGGACTTCTACCCTCCAGGAGTAAGAGAAAATAATTTTCTGTTGTTTAAGCCATCCAGTCCATGGCAGCCCTAGTGAACTAATGTGGCTGACCACATATTTGCGGTGAATAATCAAGTACAACTGGAAAAGTCACAAAACAGGGTTTGTTGGTTTAACTCTAAATTCATGATGACCTACTCCCAAATTGCCCGGGAATCTCTTAGGTTTCTCCATCAGTTTTCTCTCTCTCTCGGTTCACAATGACTATCTTGGACCTCTCTCAGCTCCCCTTGCACCAGACTCGGTGCTTTCCCTCACACCTCACACGCACTAGATGTTCTTGTCTCCTAATTTACAGATATATCCTCGTCATCAATTTAAACTCCCCCATTCTTCTGACACCAAATAAAAAGACTCCCTCTATCGACATACATGCTATCCCCCCCTCCCCTGAAAAGGCCGGATGTGGTGTTTCTCCTCCCGTCAGTGGCTATTCCATCCACCTCTATTAGGAGCACTTCCCTCTGCCCTTCTTGGGATCTAAATGATAACGGTTTCCCCTCTCCTCTGTACATTGGACTCTGACGTTTACCAATGCTCAAGCTCTCCCATTAAAACAACATCAGAACCAAACCACTTTACTCAACCCTTCTTCCTCCACATACTGCTGTCTCTCTCCTGCCCTTCACAGCTAACACTGTCAAAGGAGTTGTCACACTTGCATCTTTACATGTTCACCACCCGCTTAGTGTTAACTCCCTCTGTTATCTGCCATGCCACAAAAATGGTTCTCTCAAGTTACCAGTGGCCTCCACACGATACAACACAATGATGCCACAGGATGCAACATTCAGCCTTGCTCGGCTTGCCAACAGCATTTGACACTCCTGAACACACCCTTCAGCTGGAAGCCCTCTCTTCCCTTTTGTAATGCTCATTCTGGTTTCCTCCTGCCCCTCTGTCCATTTTATAGGTTCACCGTCTTCTACAAGGGCTCCAAGTTTTAGAGAACCTCAGAGCTCTATGCTGGAGCTTGCCACTCTGTACCCCTCTTGTCCTCTGTACTTTCTCCCTCACACTGTATCTAGTCCAGGCTTCCACTCTCACCATAATGCAAATGGCCCAGGAATGTATATCTCAAGCCCACTCTGTTCTTGCCTATTCTTCAATAATACCTCAAACTCAACAAGTTCAAAATTAAAGCCATGATTTTCTTGTCTGTACCTGGTTCCCTGACTCATAAGTGGGTCATCATCCATTCAGTTGCATAAGTAGAAGCTAAAGCTTCATCTTTGACTCCTTCTCCACTCCTCTTTTCTACTCTCGTCCCCTCCAATCTGCCTTCCACACTGTGGCCACTGTTTTCCAAACACTAATTCTATCAAAACATCTCTTCCATAAAACTCTCACTTGGTTTAAAGATAACAGCGAAGTTTCCTAGCACAGTCCACATAGTCTTCGCTCTGACCTCTCCTTCTTGCCCAAGTCTGTCACACGCCATGCTCTCCTCCACTGCTCCAGCTGCAGACACCTCAGCCTCCCTTCAATCCCCCACCCTCACCAAGTTCCCTCTTGTAATAAGCCTGTGCATGTGCTGTTCCCTCTGCCCTGGTTTCTTTTGTCCTCTGGCTCACCTGCACCCATGCTTTAGACCTCACAGCCACTGCCAAGCACTAAGGCCCCTGCCAAAGCCAAAGCCCCCATGTACTTCTCCTTCCTACAATACTTTCAAGCCTACATTTCCATTGCATTTACTGAATGTTTAATGGACAACCAATCCTCCCAATAGCATAAGTGCCATTAGGGCAGGGACAGGCCTGATTTATCTGCCATTGTGTCCCCAGCATTCAGCGTGGGGCCCGCCCTCAGAGGATCCTGGGATAAGCACCACAGTCTACTCTCTCTGATACAGAGAGTTGATTTTACAGTCAGACTGCCTGGGTTCAAATCTCACCTTTATCACTTGCTGACCTGAGATCTTGAGCATGTCACTTCATTTTTTATACCTCAGCTTTCTCATCTACCCAGTGAGAATGGGAATGGCCTTACTACCTTTCTCAGAGGGTTGTTGTGAGCGTGACGTGAACTGATGTGAGTCCAGTGCTCAGGGGGGGCCCCACTGGAAACTAAACTAAGTCCTCAATAAATGCTAGCTGTTGCAACGATCATTTCTCTCTGAGTGAATAAAATAACACATTGGTAAACTGGCCTGCATACAGAATACGTACCTCTAAGCTCCCTTAGCACTCTTTGACTGCTTCTACCCTAACACATCTTAATATCGCCTGTTATTGGGGAGAAATTTTCACAGACCACACGGGGATACTAAAACTAGAATTACACGAATCATCTTATTAATTTGACAGGCTTTACTGTTCTTATAGCTACATGAGCCTAATGAAAATTTTTTAACTTCAATTACATAAGCACATATTTCATGGTGTTACTTTGATATATGAGAGGAACCAAAGAAATTGCACGTTAGAATTAGAAAATGTTTGTGCTAGGAAGTCTAATGTGGGTGGAACCAGGCCATCTTTTCAATGACTGGAAAACTGAGGCTTAGAAAATTCAAATGACCACAATGGTGAGGAGCAGAGCCCAAACCAGACCTGAGTGCCGGACCGGGGCCCCTCTGCTCCACAAATTTGATTAAAATACTGAGGTCTGCACAGTTGTTTGGCGTAACAAAAAACCTCACAGGTTTTCTAGGATACACTGCAGGTTCACTACCTGAGGCAAAGTCATTTTTTAACAATTTCCATTTTACCATTCTTTTGACTTTAAGACAGTATCAGATTTGAGGTCTTTCAAATTAATTTCCACACCAAGTTTAAGATAACTACGCAGAGAGGCTCATTACAAGAGAAAGTGGCGTTATTAGCAAACAAAATTAAAAATGAACATGCAGGTTCTCCACTTACCGCTTTATCTCCCAGAGCTGTTCTGATACTAAGTCTTACTTTAAATGCATTTTCTGCATCTGCCAGAAAGAAAAAAAGAGCAGTATTTGATGATAAAATCTGCCAAAACATAAAACCAAATGTTTAACCAACTCAAATAAATAGAACACCGAACTTCAGTTAAACTGCCCCAAATACGCCTGAGAGTTTAACTACAATCACCTTAGAGAGTTTAAAATTTTCTTTCAAACTCATAAAACAGGCAGAGTCTCAACTTTCAAGCTAAAACATGTCTGCAGATTTAGAAAAATAAACAGGTCTTTATTGTCAATCATTTAGTAAACTGTTAATCTATTTTTAAGTGTCCAGGCTACATACCTGGTTGACAGAGTTCAGCATGAACAGCAGTCACCAGAAAAAAGAGCAGGCACAACATTCTTTCAGAGTGGAAAACACAAGGCAAACGCAGGGATAAATATCCACCCTCCACTTAAAGCTGCCTTAACCATTCTGTGACCCGGATTAGAATATCAGAGAAACAAGCAAGTCACCACCTATAAGGCTTAATGATTAAACCCCATTATTTGGGTTAATACTTAGATAGAAGCAGCCCATCTCCTGTCAGTTATTTACGAAAATCTGTTTGGAAAACAGATTAGTTGTCCTTCCTGAACTCTGGGTTTCCTCTGCTGACTCAAAGTCAGAATCCCCCCAACCCGCCCCTTCTGTTGTTGTCTGCCTAAGTACACCGTGGACATTTTCCTTGGCTTCAACTTTCTATCTTGTTAGGGCTAAAGTAGCTGGCTCATAGTCAGGGTATTTTAATTTAGAAAACAAACATCGCTCCTTCCTATCTCTGGTGAACAAAGGATGCCCTTCCAAGAATGCTCTCACCTGACTCTCACCTCCACAGATAAACATCCGAGGAGAACTTCCACTTCAAAGGCCATCATTTTGGTCAGCCCGAAGTTCTGCTGGCTGTGTAAATTCCAAGTTAATGATAGGAGTGCTGTCCAACGGAGCATTCTGTGATGATGGAAAGGTTCTATATCGGCACTATCCAATATGGTAGCCCCCAGACATAGGTGGCTGTTGACCACTTGAAATGAGACTACTGCTGCTGAGAGACCAAATTTTCTATGAACGTATGTAGAAACACCTGACTGGCAGCTACATGGGTCAGTGCATCTGCACAACTGTCATTAGGAGCCCCCTGCCATGAACCGGGTTTGCTGGACTCTTTCTCTCACCCTCAAAGCAGCACCTCACAGTTGCTGTCGTTAGAATCATCTTACACGGGAGGGAACCGTGAGGATCTGGTGTGTAAGGCGCTGGTGGCAACGGGGGACTCTTTCTCTCACCCTCAAAGCAGCACCTCAGTTGCTGTCGTTAGAATCATCTTACACGGGAGGGAACCGTGAGGATCTGGTGCGTAAGGCGCTGGTGGCAACGGGTGTCCCTTGAACCCTATCTCCATCGCACCGAACTGCACCGCGTCTTCATCGGTCATCGTCGGTCCAAACTGGAACTGCAACAGAGCCCCAGAGGTGCTCTGAGGATTACCACAATGAGTGGGAGAGCGTCTCCCCTCCTGGGCATTCTACAGACGCCAGCAGAAGAGCGCTGGCAGGTTGATGTCCGGCCTTTCCTCTCTACCACGCTATGCTGCCTCTTCACGAATCCAGTCCCCAAGTTCCACCTTGTGCTTGAAAGTCATGAATGGAGAAATCAGATTGGGTGGCCCTGATGAAAACGTGGACTTTCAAAGCAACAATGAGAAAAAGATCAACACCTGCACTTCTGCAACACTTTGAGAGTCCGACCATTTCCCCCTCCTAGACAGACTGATATCGTGTCACAGGTGACCCATTTCTGTTTGGTTACTCCGCCTGAGGAAGCTGTGCTCCTCTCCTTCACCTTGACTGCAAGGGCACAGGGGCAGGAAAAGTTGTGCTAGGGCGAGAGACAGCCAAAATTAGGCCAGTCATTCTAGCAATTTCACTATTAAGTGAAATAGAAATTTCCTAGAAGGACAAGCTCACATAACTTACTCCTGAAAACAAAGTCAGAGTAGGTGAGGTTATCTTGGGAAATGTTAGACTGGATAAAGTCATCAGGAGAATAGCAAAGCCAGTATGTGGAGAGTTTAACAAAGCCAGTATGATTACTTGCATCAGGGAACAAAGCCATGTTAGAGACAAATCTGATTCAGCTTTCCTTTAGCCTTAAACTTCATAAAAGAATCAAACATCTCTCTTTTGCTCTTACATAGTTACCTATGTGACTAGGATTGATGATAGTAAAATACTGAAGTGTAGTTAAGCCATTCTTTGAAAAGCAAAGAATCTGTTTCCTTTTGAATTATGATTTCTCTCTTTTTTGAAGATAGAGTTAACCTCTGATTAAACAATTTCTATGTGCCAGTCGCCCTATCAGTGCTTAACAGACTGTAAAAAATTGCCCTGACTAAAACCGTTGACATACAACATTATATTAATTTCAGGTGTATCAAAGACTAATTCAATATTCATATCCATTACAAAATGCTCACCATAGTAAGTATAGTTGCCATCTGTCACCACATAGTTATTACATTTGCATTGACAATGTTCCCTATGCTATACTTTACTTTCACTATTCTATACTTTATAGACATTTGTTTTCTCATTTAAAACATGACAGGGAAGAAAAAAGAGCAGCAGAAGTTCCATATAGAAAATACAGAGAAGCCAAAAGAGAAAAATACAAAATTATCCATAATACCACTGACACGAATGACCAATGTTAATATATTTTAAGAGCTGAAACATACCTGCCTTAGCCTGGGATCTTCTGGTGTGTTCCTGTGTGATGCTGCTGTTCTGTCTCATTGCAGCAGCACATCAGAACAGTAATAGTAGAATTAACACAGAGCCTGGGTTTTACCTTATTCTAGTAGTTTCTGTCTACAGGATCTGGTGAGTCACTTCAAATTTGATGTATTGTGAGGTAAAAAGGCTCCTTTTGTCTGGTTTACCAAAAATCATTCTGATCAATAATTGATGTTGAATTTCATCGACTGCACTTTTAATTTAACATTACTATGATCCTAGAGGTTTTACCATTTGATGCATTTTATGAATAAATTTTTTAGAGGCGCTTTGGTGGCTCAGTCGGTTAGGTGTCCAGCTCTTGATTTTGGCTCGGGTAGAGATCTCACCATTCATGGGATCGAGCCCTGTGTCAGGATCTGCGCTGACAGCTTGGAGCCTGCTTGGGATCCTCTCTCTCTCCACCACCCACCGCCAAAATAAATAAACTTAAAAAAACTTTTTTTACATTGATTCAATTCTTAGATGAACTTAGTTAGATGAATTTTAACATGCTTCTGGACTTAACTGGTGTGTTTTTCCTTAGGTTTTTAAATCTATTTTCATAGAAATAGAATATCATTCAGGTTTCTTTTCAAGTGCTGATTCTTGAAGTTTATTTTTTTTTTCTGGTCCTTACATCACCATCTTGAAAATGGTATAAAAAGATTTCTAACATCATCTAGGTTTACAAATACTTTAAAATGCAGGAAAAAATTGCAGAAGAAATGCAGAGTTGGAGAAGCTGAGCCATACATATTTTGGAGGAAGAGTTCTTTCAAGACTTTCATTTCTTATAGTCATACACTGCAGGTTTCATAATTCTGAGTTCATTTTGGCTGTTACAAATTCCAAGAAAACCTTTATTTCATCAAGATTTTCCAGTATTCCCATGGGCTTTATACAGCATTTTCATTGCCATATTTCCTCTGTATTTTCTAGCATGCATATAAATATTTTCTCATTTTCTACTCTTCTTGCCAGAGGTGTGTCTACTTCTGTTGTTTTGTTTAATCAAAGAACAAGATCGTGGATTTAATTTTCAAGTCTTTTCTTCCTGCTTTCTGAGTCATCCATCCTATTTATTTTTATAAAGTCCTCACTCCTGTTGTCATTTTACTGGTTTTCTTGTTCTTCTTATAAGTCTTGAGCTGACAAACAGGCTCACTATTTTTAACCTTTCTCATTTAATAATGAAAATATTTGTAGCTATGAATTTTCCTTGGAGTATTTTTCTGGCCAGATGACAGGAAATATATAGATGCACAGTGATCTCAAGCTTATTTTCTGAACAGCCTATAATTATAGTTCCAATTTTTCTAGATCCCAAAGTTTGCTTAGAAAAGTATTTGACAGTAGCAAAATTAACAGCAGCCAAAAGTACAATGATGAAAAATACCGATTTTTATAGTCCTGTAAGGTGAATAGAAAAAAAATTTAATGATAAAGTAAGACATTGCCAATAATTCAACTTAAACTATGAACACTCTTACAAGGTGATTTAGAACATGCTAAAAATGACTTACTAAAGAGCTTGATAGCTTAATCAAAACACACAGAACCAGATACTGCTGTTCTTGCCTCTTAACATACTGGGTTTTTTCTCCTTCTCCTTTCAAAAATCTTGCACAAACTTGCTCTTTATTTTCACACATAATTTTAAGTTTTAAACCTCCAGAGAAATCATATCAAACTTGCTACATACAATGTACATTTCTGCAATTTCACATGCAGGAGCTTAATTTATCAGTAACAGTGGTAACGATGACAAATAAAGCGGTTTCAATCGTTCTGTATATGTTACTATTTACTTCTAATGTTCAGAGTTTAGAGAATGAAGATAAAATGTTGAGATTACTGTTGCCATGAGCAATACAGAAGGCACCAAGTCTCCTGAGACAGGAAAAAGAAATTGATTTCTCCATGTTTTTTCATACTCTATAGCACTATTGGAAAGCAGTTTCTCAGCACATAACTATTGATCTACTGCTCTGGAGGGTAAATTAAATATGACATCACACAAAAAGAAAATACGTGTGTCATTCTTTTGATTCACATAAGATGCTTTTTAAAGTTTATCAGGGTTGTAAAAGCATGTGGATATACGTATATCCATTTATCTGCAATCAAACAACATGTAGGTAGAACCAAAGTCACTTTGAAATGTTGACCCTGATTATTCCATTTCATGGTCACAAACCTGCATTTTGTAAACTGGTAACACCTAAAACCAGTAAACTGTGAAATTATTTCAAATGTAACTTTGTTCCGCATATTTTTATCGGGTTTTGGGAAATGTATTTAGCTATGACATATCAAAAATATAAAAAACTTTGGGGCACTTGGTTGGCTCAGTCAGTAAAGCACCTGACTTTGGCTCAGGTCATTATCTCATGGTTTGTGGGTTCTAGCCCCGCATCGGGCTCTATGCTGATAGCTCAGAGCCTGGAGCCTGCTTTGGATTCTAGGTCTCCCTCTCTCTGTGCCCCTTCACCTGTTCATGCTCTGTTTCTCTTTCTCTCTATGAAAAATAAACATCAAAAAAAATAAACATTAAAAATATAAAAAAAAACTTTAAAAGCTTAACACAATTTTTTATAAAATAAAAGCTTGCACTTTATTTATTGTTTTTTTAATTAATTTATTTTTGAGACAGAGAGAGACAGAGCATGAGCAGGGGAGGGGCAGAGAGAGAGAGAGGGAGACACTGAATCTGAAACAGGCTCCAGGGTCCGAGCTGCCAGTCCAGAACCTGATGTGGGGCTTGAACCCACGAACTGCGAGATCATGACTTGAGCCAAAGTCGGATGCTTAACCAACAGAGCCACCTCGGCACCCCAAAGCTTGCACTTTTTAAATTAATGGCTCTGCTCAATTTTCCACAATGAAGTTGTAGAATTAAAAAAATTTTTTTTAACATTTAGTTTTTAGAGACAGAGCGGAGCATGGGAGGGGCAGAGAGAGAGGAAGGCAGAATCTGAAGTAGGCTCCAGGCTCTGAGCTGTCAGCACAGAGCCCAACGCGGGGCTCAAACCTACAAACTATGAGATCATGACCTGAGCCAGCACTGGTCACTTGACTGACTGAGCCACCCAGTGTTGGGATGAGCACTGAGTGTTATATGGAAACCAACTTGACAGTAAACTAAGAAAAAAGAAGATGGCTAATGAGAAAGAATAATTGCCTGGCTGCTGGAACACTGGGCTCATTTTGGCTGTCAGTCCAACAGCCCGTGGGTAGTAAGTACAGGCACATTTAAAACTCATTGTCATTGAAATCTTGCCATTTGCAACATCGTGGATAGAACTAGAGGGTATTATGCTAAGCAAAATAAGTCAGTCAGAGAAAGAGATATCATATGAGTTTACTCCTATATGGAGTTTGAGAAACTTAACAGATGAACATAGAAGGGAAGGAAAAATAAGACAAAAATAAGATAAAACAGAGAGGGAGCAAACCATAATAGATTTTCTTAAAATTTGTTTGTTTATTTACTTCTGAGAGAGAGAGAGAGTGACAGGGTGTGAGTAGGGGAGGGGCAGAGAGAGGGAGACACAGAATCTGAAGCAGGTTCCAAGCTCCTAGCTGTCAGCAGAGAGAGACACAGGGCCCAAACCCAAGAACCATGAAATCATGACCCGAGCCGAAGTTGGACATTTGACATACTGAGCCACCCAGGTGCCCCATAAGAGACTCTTAAATACAGAGAACAAGCTTAGGGTTGCTGGAGGGGAGGTGGGTGGGGGATGGGCTAAATGGGTGATGGGCATTAAGGAGGGCACTCTTCAGGATGGGCACTGGGTGTCATATGTAAGAGATGAATCACTGGGTTCTACTCCTGAAGCTAAGACCACACTGTTTGTTAACTAACTTCGAGAATTAAAAAACAAACAAAAAAACCAAAATAAAAAAACTCACTGTCAATGAATGCTGTTTCTACCTTCCATTGTCTTTCTTCTAGTCATTTCTACTGAAGCCATTCCCACTTGAAATCTTCACCAGCACCCCAGGGCTTGTCTAGGAATCCAAACTCCTTGGCCTCTAAGATCTAAATCCGACTTGGCTTTTCAGATGCGTCTACACCGATGACCCCTCCCCAGCCTTCCCCAGCCTAGGCTGAGCCATCCTACCTGCCAATCCCTGTAAGTGGGCTTCACCCCACCTCTGTCCTTTGTGCTTCTTCTCACAGTTTCCTTTAGTTCAATACTTTTGAGTTTTCTTTTTTTTTTTTACCTTTAAACAAACACCTTAGTCACTGTTCCAGGTCTATCTCAATGATCACTTCCCTTGAGAAAACTGTTTTCTTTTTGTTACAGGGTCTCATTCATTATTATTTGTTTTACACTTGTCCAATCCACTAACTTTTTATTCTCTCCTTCTCCTAGGTTCCCATAGCATTTTGTTCACACTCGTACAAGTATCTATGGCCAATATGATTTACTTCTGTGTCCTACAAATTTTAAATTTCTGGAGAATACGGACTGTATTTGGTTCATTTTGCATGTCTCATGGCCCACGACTATTTGATAACTTAATAGAACTGAATTTACTTATTTGAATCATAAACTGACATATGAAGAAGCTCAACGATGCAGATACGAAGATTCATGAGGCAGAGACTGCATTTTCTTTCATTCTTAGTCAGAGAAAAACAACTTCTAGTACCTGATAAACAAGAACACTGGGCTTTGTAATATTTTTGTCTCCAATTCCATATCTATGCCCTTTTTAAGATGAAAAGAAATTTGAAGCTACGGTATTTGGAAGGCTCATCAAATTTCGTAGGTTAATCAATAGCCATAACCATTATGAACTTAGTCTTTCTATTCACAGGGTAACATTTTTCTAGTTCACAGAAAGTTAATCACTACTGTTTAGAAATAAAGATTAATTTAGACAAGCTGAGTGAGTGTAATTTTGCCAACTTTATATTCTTAAGGTAAGAATTTAAAGGATAGTTTCTTAAATGGAATGCACGTGTGCCCGTGTGTCTCAGTTTGTGCATGAAAACCAACGCATTAATATGAGTCTCAGGTTGTAAAAGTAAGGCCTTACTGATATTTCTTCCTAGATCTCTTTACAATGTGGCTTAGGTGTTATATTAAGAGCTTTCTTGTGGCTGAGGCAAGTTATAATTTTCTCCAACGTTACTGCAGCCATGCTCTACAGAACAGTATTTTCCACCCTTAATCTTCTATTTGGCTGCCAGTTGTGTCACCCCAGCCACATTCAGCTCTGCCTCTAGGTACTCCCTTTGCCAACCTATATAAAAAGGTGGAGGAGCCACGGGGCCATGTACCTTTCAGGTTACATGCTCTCTTTTTCATAACAGAATCTTAAACTACCCTCATTTTAATTGATATATAAAGCATATGAATTAATTAATGTATCAAAGGCTCTGCCCTTAAGTTTGACCAGCAACAATGATCTTGACATTTCTACTGTCTGAAAATCATCAGTAGCTTGTAGTAAGTAGAGTTGTTTATGACTGCCTAAAAGATGTGCATGCATTGCCTCAATACCTCTATCACTACAAATCAGAGATGCCAAATAGATTGCTGTAGCCACTCATCCATCCTACACCCACAAGAGAAGCTGTTAATCTACTTCAGAACTTTTTCCTTCTGAGTGTGGACTCAGCCATAAAATTTCCCAGCAGTTATTCAGTCCGTTGACAAGTTGAAACTTATTTGCCATCATAGAGAAGAATGCTCTATGTACTGCCCGGAATAAAGCCATACCACTGGGTGCCTGTGATCTCAAATGAACAGAAAAGTCTGGGTGGTTCATAGAATCAAGTCAACACTTTGTGATTGTGGCAGCAGTTTACACTGAGGGGATCTGTATGAAACTCGTTTTGGCACTTGTTTCCTACTGAGTTTCCAGTACCACCATGATGAGGAATCAGGATTTCCCTTGGGACTGAAAATCAAGAAAACCTGCTTCTCAAAACCAACCAACCAGATGGATCTGGAGGGCATTTTGCTAATTGAAGTCAGAAAGACAAAGACAAATACTGTAAGATCTTACTTACATGTGAAATCTAAAAAACAAAAATGAAAAATGGAACTCATACAGATAATAGATGGTTGGATGCCCAAGGCAGGGAGTGGGGGGAGGGCAAAATGGGTGAAGATGGTCAAAAGGTACAAACTTCCAGTTACAAAACAAGTAATGGGATGTAATGCACAGAATGGTAACTATAGCTAATAATGTTATATTGTATACTTGAACTTTGCTAAGAATAAATCTTAAAAAGTTCTTACCACGGGAAAAACTGTAACTACGTATGGCAAAGGCAGTTTACTAGATACGCTGTGGTGATCATTTCACAATACAGGAAAATACTAAATCATTAACTTTTGTACTTGAAACTAATGTTATATGTCAATCACACCTCAATAAAAGAAAAAAAAAAAGAGGCCGGCACTTACCAAGTCCTTTTGCAACTATTCTGACCCCCCTGCCACACCTTAACTTTCTCATCAATTCTTGTCTCATCCAAACCCAAGTTGGAAAACTTCAGGGTGTAAATTCCTTGGGCTTTGCCTTGTCACTGGAACTTAGTACTCCCCAAATACAATTTAAATGAATATCTAAATGGCTAATGGTAAGTGCCCTTCTCACAGAAGTGCCCCGTTCAGAGATTTCGGGACAGAAAAAAAAAAAAAAAGTAATAACCTCCTCACTTTTTTTCTTATAGAACTAGGATTATAAACCGAGGGAGTAAAGAGGATTTATCTCAGAGCAGGGCTCGGCAAAGAGGCCTAAGTGTTGTGTTGTCTGGACAGGCCCGAGACAGCAGGTGAGCACTCGGTGCCTAGAAAACGTCATCTGAAGGAGATGGCAGAAGTAGAGGAGTGTGTTCATTACTCCGTCCACCTGCCTAGCATTGAAGGTCAGCTGGGGGCTGGTAAGAACACAGATCCACTCAGTGCCCAGTTACGTTTCCTATCCAGTGTCTGCTCGTGAAGCTCGGGTGTTTGGAGCTGAGAGAAATACGCAGAAAGCCTACTTTTAGATGAGAATCAGGGATCCAAAGACTCGTTCCATTCTATAAATGCCACCGACGTCCAGCTCTCAGGCGTGGGCGGTTTTCTCCGGAAACAAGTGGGCCCCGCCCGCCCTGAGCGCCTTCCCAGGACCCAGTTCCGCCACGAGAGGGAGAGCAGGAGGCGTGGACTAGTCTGCGCGGAACCAAAAGAGAGGGCCCGAGAACCCAAGGAGGGGCTATGCCGGAACGCCAGGAAATGCGCATGCGCGGCATGAACGTGGCCAATGTGGACCGCGGGGTGGTGCCTGTAGCGTGGGCGCAGGGCAGGGATTGGCCTTGACGTGAGAGCGCGGAAGGCCGGGAAAGGACGTGACCCAGCGTGAGGGGCGGGTCTGGAGCCGTGGGAAGAAGCGTCTGCGACTGCCTAGTCGGGAAGGGCGTGGCGTTAGGCCAGGGGCGTAACCTGAAAAGGCAGGGCTCAGTGAGTGAAGGGCTTGGCGTGGCCGCTTGTGAGGGCACTACAGAGTCGGTCCAGACTGCGGGAGGGGTGCGCTCAGGCAGACGGCAGAGGGATTACCAGAGAGGAAAGCAGGGACGTAGGCATAGGAGAAGGACGTGGGGGTCAGGGGAATGAGTGACCCGGAAGACAAGCATGTGACAAGTCCTGTGGAGAGGCGGGGCTGCCGAGTAGCGTACGGGACGCCAAGTACGTAACAGGAAGAAGGGCCGTGATGTAGGCGGAGCGTAAGGGCGTACCGTGAACGTGCGGGGAGCGAGACGTGTGTGAGGGCGTGACAAAGAAGATCCAGCTTGAAGGAGGGGTGGGCTTAGGCGTAGGACAGAGGCGGGGCCATGTTAGCGCGCAGGCGCGTGGCCGCGGCTGCAGGCCCACAGCGATGGCAGAGGGGTAGCCAGGGCAGGGAACAGGAGCGGACCGCGGCCCTGGGTGGATGGAGAGCTGGTTCGGGCTCCGACGCCGTGAGCGGGTCCAAGGCAGGACTTAAAGGGCTTTGTCGGAGACTTGGGCGGGGCGACGGGACGGGACGTGTTACGCGCAATGACGTGAACGGCGTGAGGGGCGTGGCGAGGCGTAACGGGACGTGGCCAAGATGGCCGCGCGCATGAGTCTCTCCGGCACCGAGTGGAAGGGGTCCGCGCTCCGCGAAATGTTCGGGTAAGGTCGGGCGGCGATTGGAGCATGGTGGGTAGGGGGTACATATCGCCCTGCTAGAGACAACAGGCACCCTTCCTCTCAGGACTACGCTCTGCGATGGGCCCTGGAGCTGCGACAAGCTGCTGGTTCCGCGAGGATGGCCGCAGGCCCGCCGGGGCTTTTCTGTAAAATGCAGAGGAGGAGACCGGGAATCGCCTTTTCCCTACTCTAACCCTGTTTCTCCACTGTGAGAGTCTTAATCTACACCCTATTAGAGTTCTGTCCACTTAACGGTAGAACTACTGTCTCAGAGACTTTGAGAGATGGGGGTTGCAGTTCCAGAAATCGAGGCGCAGTCATTTGGGATTCACTCACATCTGCATTGTTGTTCTTTACCCTGATCATGCTAGAAGCTAAGGACAGATTCGCGACCACCGCCGAGGCAGGGAATCAGCAGCATAGCTGTGCCATGTGGACCTATCTGACTCTTCTCTACACAGTTGTCTCTTTTTTCTTTTGTGCCCTGCCCCGGATCTGGAGAGGCAAGAACCTACAAAATACAAACGTTTGTTGATGTGTCTGATTCTTTGTGGCATGAGTTAAAAGCTACTATTTGAGGCTACTGGAAACTCATTATTAGTGTGATTTCTTCTCAAGCTTGGGAAACGTGCAACATCGAAGGTGTGTACGTTTTAATTTGGGAAGCATTCATTCATTCTCAGCCCCAGAAAGTCACTTTACGTTCTGCTTCCCCTTTGTCCTTAACTGTGAATCTGGTCATCTCTTACTATGTGTTATGGAGTCCATGTATCTGTCCCCGCTCCCCTCCCCCCCTCATCCATAAGTTGAAGCCCTAGCACCCAGTGGACTGGTATTAGGAGATGGGGCCTTTGTGAGGTAATTAGGATTGGATTAGGTTATGAGGTTTACACCTCCATGATAGGATTAGGGTTCTTATCAGAAAAGAGAGTCCAGAGCTTGTTCTCTCTTCAGCATGTAAGGACACAGAAGATAGCTGTCTACAAGCTAGAAGCAGGTTCTCACCAGGAACTGATTGGTCAGAACCTTGAATTTGGATTCCCAGTGCCTAGAACTGTGGGAAATAAGTGTCTTTTGTGTAAGCGACTCAGTCTATGGTATTTTGGTCTAGCAGCCCAAGCTAAGACACTATGCATTTTCGTTTCCTGACTTCAGTGTGTTCATTGGCAAAGTGATGCATGTAACACAATGCAGAGCATGAGGTTGCAAGACTAGCTGTTTTTCACACTTCACTTGACAGTACTTTTCCTGGCACATGGTTTGTGTATGCTTACAAAGGGTTTTGCCTGGAGCCCTCATTTGTTCTTTTCAGGGTAGTTAACAGGAAGTAACTCTGCCTCCTGCTTTCACTGGACACAGATCAGGAGTGATGTCTTTTTGTCTCCTTCTTTTTGGGCGTAGCCTTCTTTCCTCTAGCCCAGATCTGGCAAAGTTGATTCAGCAATATAGGGGAGAAGAGCTAGTTCACAACCAATTAATAGTGATGTACATGCAGAGAGGAGATTAAAATCAACGTCTGCCTTCTTGGTCAGCATTGCCAGGGGTCATTATGTGCTTTCTTCTACGTAACACTCTTCCCAGAAAGATGGTATGCAGAAGTAAAGTAGCAGTCTGTAAGTGACACATGCCTTTAGTGCCCTTTCAGTTTCTCTGTTCATGACATTGGGCACCTCTCCTCCCCGTCCATTGCCAGACAGTTGAGAGGCCGCTAAAAGGCTGAAGGCAGAACCTGAGCAGTCCCGGTTTCCCTTCCAGTATGATGTGCATTTCAGGAGGCTCCGAGCAGGAGAAACGAACTGCACGCCGGGAAGGTAGAGTTCGTGCCTTGTCCGGCTTTGCACCCCGGCACCCAGCATGGTGGCTGGAACACAGGAAATGACGATGGATGTTGACCTGATGGCAGAACTCCCATCCCTGTGAGACCAGCTTCGGTTCATACTTAGGTAATTTCCTCCTTCAGATCGGGCAGAACTTCGGGGGCCTTCAGGTCCTACGGGTAGGGCTATGGGGCCTTTCCCTTAAATGACAGCCATTTGAAAGTGTTTCAGGAGTGTAAATGCCCCCACAAACGGGTGATGGTGGCATCTAGGAAAAGGAAAACCCTTCGTACTGTCTGAGAACATGCTGGCAATCACTTCACAGCTTGCGGCTTCTGAAGTTAAGATCCACACCTTTTCCGTCGCCAAGGAAGTGCGGCCAGGTCACTGCGTGGCCATCAGGTGCCAGACATGAAGAGATGCGGCTGTGAGAGAGACAGACACGGTCCCTACCGCCACGGGGCTCCGTTGCCAGGAAGATGGCGTCCTAAAGTACATTCCTGATCGGGTATCCGACTGCAGGAAGCACCGTGAGGGAGGCCCCGTGGTGAGGGCCCGGGCAGGGGAGGCTCCTAGGAAGTGATGCTGGGGTGGAACACCTGGAGACAGAGGGGAATGAACCAGGCGGGGATGGAGGGAGCGTGCTCCAGGGAAGGAGGAGCATCTGCACCGGCCCTGTGGCCAGAGGGAGCCCAGAGGGAGCGTGGGGAGCGGGAAGAGCCGGCATCCGGGTGGCTGGTGCCCAGGCAGGAGCAGGCACTGGACATGGGGCGGCGGGGGCACAGCGCCACGCAGCCAAGCGTCACTCATGGTTGCTCAGATGGCGTCTCCAATAACTGCCAGAATGCATCTCGAGTAATCACTGCAAACACTCTGAAATCTATGCTGGAGTGAGTATGTAACCAAGAAAAAAAAAAAAAGGTTCGTTTCTGACCTTGTTTGCCTACTTGGTATAGGGTTAGGAGTTTTCAAGAAAAATGGGTGAGGCGTTATGGGGCTGGGGGAGGCAGGAAAGAGGCAGTGAAAATTAATATCGTAATTTCTGAACCCTTATGGGAAGCATGGTCTTCGGGGACTTTGACTAGGAGCATGTGAGGGGAAGAGAGGTCATCAGTGCAGTCAGAAATGAATATTCACATCGAATCTACTTGCAGATTAGTTCAGGATTAACCTCCTTTCCCCCATGATTGAGGAATATACTGTTACGCATAAAACTGGCAAAGAGTCACAGAGCATTTAAGCCTAGATTTCAAAACTGCGCCTGACTATTTTGACAGGATGTATCCTTGCTCTTTTTTTTTTTTAAAAGCAATCCACATACAGATCGATGTTGTTGTTTTTTTTTTTAATCTATTTATCCAATTTTTTACTCAGGCCGTCTGGAAGGAGCATTAATCTTTGGAGCACTAATTTATATATAACTTCTTATATATAAATACCATGCTGGATATCCAACTTGATTTTCAGGGAATGAATGTTTTTCTGTTTGTTTGAAGAAACTACTGTAAACGGTCTTTTCATTCTTGTGGGTAAAGAAAAAATGGTTTCTCTGGATCTCTAATATTTGCCAACCCTAAAGGAAAGGCAGGGCTCCTGAGTCAGTCATCCAGATCCTGCCAATGAAGTGACGAATGAATTTGAGGAAGAGGAGTGGATTAGCTCTTGACTCATTCCCCCTTCACCCCTCCCCGCCATGTGTGTTCATAGTCCGAATGTTGTTGTCCTACTCAGCTTCCGATGATGGTCACCCTCAGTCGTTCACAGCTTCACCCCCTCTGTTTCGTCCCTGCAGGTTGCTGGCTTCCTGCACATTACTGGGGCCTGATCGAGATTTCAGGCTAAGCATGGTGGTGATGAGTAGCCTGAGGGCCATTCTGCAGGCCTCTCCATGCAGGTCACCGTGGAGAAGATTCCAGATCCCCAGCTTCCTGCCGGCGCGGCCCTGCAGCCTCTACACCTGCACGTACAAAGCCCGGAACCGAGCCTGTGAGTACCCGCTGCCTTCGAGAGAGAGCGAAAGGCTGCTTTGCTGGCCATCACGTGTGTGCTGCTTCTCCACGTGCTGTCGGGGGCTTCCAGAGCAGGTTCTGTGCCTTAACCGTGCGAACAGCAACTTGTTTCTCTCTTTGTCTCTCAAGTAAATGTGGAAATTCTTCTCCCCCAGGGTTCTTGAGATGTAGTTGCCGCATAACGTCGTGTAAGTCGAAGGCATGGGGTGTGATGACCTGATACACGTAGGGTGCAAAACCGTCATAAGGGTCGGAGAGTGCTCTTCTCGACTCATTTGAACATGTTAGAAGGATGCCGTGCGGAAATAGGACGCGGGAGCTGTCCCGGTTTCGGGTGCTTTGGAACCTGTTCTGTGCTGTTCTTGTGGGCACTGGTCGTCTTACTAACGCCGAGCCACAGACCGAGAATTCTTTCCGCGAACCTTAACGCTCTGCAAGTTGCATCTTGGTGTTCGCAAGCAGGCCACTGGCTTCGCGCTCTGGAATGTTCTTTCCCGAGTCACAGAATGCCGAGTTGATTCCAGCTGACCAGCTTGCCAGTGTGCGCTGTGCTGTCAGTACGGCATCTGGGGAGGCAGCGGACGGTCTCTCCGGAACCCTCTCGCGTCCCGTTCTTCTCCTGAGGCACCAGCTACCTGTCATCCCCGCGGCGCAGGGCTTGTCCGCGAGCCACTACTGCCGTGGGGGATGGGCCATTCTGTGTTGTTGCAGGTCAAGTGTGCACTATAGCTGTTGAGTGACATTCTAGATATCCCAAGGGACAAAGTCACCCTGGTAAAGAACCACGTAGTTTATAGGAGGAGGTTAATACATGTGTTGATGGAGAGATGTGTTTAATGAAACGGCTACGTACGTTTTATATATTTCCCACCATTCTCCATGAATTAACGCAGAGTTTCAAATGTTGCCTTGCCTCAAAATTTCAGGTTTCTTAACCTTTCCTCTGCAGGTTTCCTTTCTTTGATCGTAAATTGCACATAAGAAATAAGTTCATTAGTGATGCCGATCTAGCTAAATGCTGCATTGCCTTGTAACTGCTTCGTAAATATATTTTTATTTTTATTTTATTTTGTTCCCTCCAGCTTTGACTGTTCTCATTAGAATAAAGTGGCTGGAGTCTTAAATTTCTGGTTGCTGGGTATAGCCTCCTACTAGTAGACACACATCCTACTCAGACTGGGTTATTCTCTACATTTGCATTTTGTGGTCTGAAGCTTAAATTGAAAAAAAAAAAAAGCGTATAGTCATAATTTCTCTAGTTATTAAAGTTCGTGTGAATGTGGGGGTTTTCCTTAATTTTTGTTTTTGTTTACAGACAGATGAAATTTAAAGGTATAAAATTCAACATACTGATGTCTTTAAGATGGTGTGTTTATTTTAGTATTGACAGACTGACACCCCTCCCCGCCCCCCCCAGGAACTGAGGGCTTTAGTCTCCTGTGCTGATTACTGCACGTGTATGCCGTGGTTACCTGGGCTCAACATCAGAGTGCCTTTCATAGCCCTCGTGCTTGAGTAGACAACTTGTGGTTCTGTGATCATCCATAACAGTGTCATATGGGAGGGGGCTTGTCCCCATGTACCTGTCACTATGCTAAGCCCTCGGCCTACTAGGATGATCTTCAATCACATGAGGAAATCGCACAGCTCAGGAAAAAGGACGGGAACAGGGCACATGAGAAAAAACCAACGAACGTGTAGAATACCAATGTCCAGTAGATAAATAACACAAGCCACAAATGCGAGCCATGTAATTCAAGTAATATGATGCTTTCTAATAAAAACACTTAAAAGAAGAACAAATAGTATGTCAATTATATCTCAGTAAAACTGAAAGAAAAACCGATTTGTTCATTTGTGAAATTCTATACAGGAAATACACAGATGAAATATACAGGTGAAATTAATTTGACTAAAATATTTAACCCAGTATACCGAAAACATTATCACTCTAACCTGTAATTGATGTAAAAGTCATTGAGATAGTTTGCATTCGCCATTTTGTACTAAATCTTCAAAGCTGAGTGGGTGTTTTACATTCATAGTGTATCTCACTTTGAATGACCAAGGGGACTAGCATGGCAAGGTTCTGGAATAGTAGGGCAAGACCAGAGTTTGGGAAGAATGAGGAGAAAGGAAATTAGGTGGCGGAGGTGGCATCCTAATAGGAAAACCTTGACCCTGGACACAGAAAGTAGGACCTGACCTACAGCTTTAACACAGGAACGGCATGTTGGTGGTAATTTAGGGAAACTAGTAGATGGCAAAACATGGTAGAGGGTGTTGAGACCAAAAGATATGTATGAAGTCCAGGGTGTAGGGGCCTGAACTCAACTGTTGGTCATGGGCAAGGTAAAGAAGAGATAAACCTGAAAGATCCTTTAAAAAAAAATGTGATCAGAAGTAGGCTTAAAGATAAAGATAAAATAGGCTTGAAGATAAAAGAGGACTGGAACCTTCCCAACAGTGTTCTTTATCTTCTATGTGTAGTGAACAAGCAGTGGTTAAGAGAGACTTCAGTTCTTCTTGTGGCTTATACAACACTGAAGGAGGCAGCTAATTTAGCACATATGCATATAATCACCATTACACGTGTGTAGTAAGTGTTTTGAAGGAAAAGATCAGAATGCTGTGATTTAAAAAAAAAAAAAGAGGGGGGTCATATAATAAGGGATAGAGAGGTGAGGAGGTGACATTGTTTTGGAGAGATGACAAGCCAGTAACAGGAGCCAGCCCTTAGCTGAATGAGGGGAGATTGTTTTCTGAGGAGGAGGAGCAGGCACTGAAGGACTGAGCTAGGAATGTGCTTTCTGTGTTTCAGGAGGTGAAAGAGGGACACTCCTGAGGCCGGAGACACGGTGGTACAAGCACAAAATCAGTCAAAGCCAAGACTAGACCTGTAAGTAAGAACTAAAACTGAGCACATTTTCTCTGTGGGATCTAAAGGGACTTCGTTGCTCGTCAGCGATATATTCGTGACACCTTCATGATGACAATAATAAAATTGTCACCCAAAGAAATCACCAGAGCAGGCAGCATTTATACTGTTTAGACAAACAATAAGTCTGTGGGGAATTGGCAGGACCAAGAAGATGTATTATTCAGGAGCTTCAACTAGTAAGAAATTCTGCAGAGGATTTGGGCTGGCGCAGTAAATCAGTAACAGTAGCACGGCTTGCTCTACAGCCTTCGTGGCTGTTTCCTGTCTCTGGTGATAAGGGTGTCATTACCTCCTCACGCAGGGAGTGTACCTTTCACATGGGAGATTTATTTCCGGGTTTCTGGAGGCAAAGGGGGTTCCGAGTGTCCTTGCACTGGCTATTTCTTAAGTAACTTAATTTAAAATAATACGCCCAAGTGGCACATTTGGGGGTGGTCTGCCCTTGGCAGGAAGAAGTACCAAAAATGTGGATTTACCCTTCACAGCCATTTATTTTGCAAAACAAACCCTTGGGAAAAGCTGGCTTTGCTAAGTCAACAGTAGCAAAAGGCCCCTATTGGGGGTATGGTCTAGGTTCCCAAAGGAGGAGGTTGTGCGGGAAGGAACCTTCCAGAAGCTGAACTTGTGACATGAAGGGCATCAGTTGATAGGAGCATCACGGTCATAAAAGAGCAATGAAGGGGTAGACCTGGGATTTGGGGGCCGGTGTTCACATGGGTGAGAGTAGATTCTGGGCATTTCCTCAGTAGAGTGGGGGACGAGTCAGGGTGAAAGGAGGGATTGTCTTTTGGGGATCTGCTTGTTAGTCCCCTTCTTGCCTGGGCTTTACCGGAGACCCTCATGAACTGGTTTTGAAGAGTGTGGATTCTCAACTCCTCGACCACAGTCTGCGTATCTCAGAGGGGAAGGTGCGGCTGAGTCTCTCGGTGCCAGGCATCCTACAACCGAATCAGGGCTGCTTACTGGTGTTACAAGGTGGGGGAGGGATAGTAAAGTTTCCCCCAAACTGAGAAGGCACTGTGAGACCAGAAAATGAAACAGGCCATTCCGTACAGTTACAGAGTTCTGTTTGGAGTAACTTAGTGCAGAGTATCGGGCTGGTGACGGTCCAGACCAGGCATAGCTATTCTCTGCAAAGTCTTGACCTTGGTCCACAGATTTTACAGAGCGAGGGAACTCTTGGGGGACAGTGTAGGGGTCGGAGGGTTCACATGTGTTTCAAAGGGTTTGCATGCACCTAATTGGCAGCTAACATCTTTCAGACCTGGTGGCATCATCTCGTGAGTCAGGAAGCGGGGAGAGACTCTGTTATCTCTAAGTGATTCGTGGGAGGTGAAAATAACCTCCCCACATTCCGGCCTTGGCTGGCATGTCTAAGGTATGAATATTAATCTCTGAGGGGCCCAGAACACGTAGTCCCAGGAGAGGTCAGTGAACAAGATGGAGGGCCAAAGATGGAGTCAGTATTGTCAGTACTCCTACAAGTTGCTTTCTAATTCACATTTTAATTAGATTATTGTATAAATATTTTACCAGGCAAATGCATTTTCTGTTTTAGGCTTTCGAAACAAAATTCCAGAGATAAGATGGTGCTGCTTTGTAGGAAGAAGTAGTAAAAACAAGAGTACCCTGAACTTGCAGAGACCACAGTTTCTCAACTTTATTGACATTTGAAGTCTTAGAATTCTGGGCATTATAGGGTTTCAAAAGCTGCATGCCTGGCCTTTATCCACTAGATGTCAGTAGCACTCTTCCAATTGTGACAACCAAAAGTGTCTCCAGACATTGCCAGGTGTCTTCTAGGACAGCACCATTCCGTGTTGACAAACCCTGCTCTACTCTCAGGAGAGCTCTCCATGTCATTTTTGTGCCCCCTACCACCACCAAAAAACTCCCAAAGCCCCATAAGGCTAGGATTTTGAATTTATAGATTTTAACAGATACCCACGCAGAAAAAATATCTTCTTTGTAAAGGTAACTAGAGGCAAGTGTCTGGGTCTTTTTTTTTTTTAATGAAAACAGGTGTCTGTGAACCTGCTATACACACGGTGGGTTGACTGAGTGGCAGCTACCTTACCACTTTCTCAGATCCTTAGGCTCATTCTTAGTAGTGGGGTGAGGCTCAGAGGGTCATTGGTAATGATTGATCTTGATTCACATTTCTTCTGGTTTTCCTAGTAGTCTTGGTTCCACCCGTCCGTGGTGCTTCTAAAGGGCACAGAACTGGAGCACCCCAAATTATGCACATAGTTCTAGCCATCATGCATGGATGTCTCAGCAGCTCTGTGTTACAGGAAGTCCACTGAGATTTATCAGAGACTTACCATGAAGACCTGGTATTTGACTCTTTAGAAAAGTCATCATCAGGGTTGTGTTGTGTCTGTGTGAGACAAATTGTACATATACACCTTTATATAGAATGAATCAGGGGGCCGCCAGGGGGAGCTCTCCTGCCCAGTTGCAGACCCAGTTGGAAAAGATAAACCTTGCGCCTGGATACTACTTTAACTACTACTTTACTATACCAGCCTGAGGAAAGATCTCTCTTCTGCCCTAACAACAGCCCAGACAGTGAGCAACACTCACAACTCAGCCAATGAGAAGCCACTGTACATCTAGTTCCTAGTTTATTCCAATGGACTTTTTGTTTATAACAGCCTTCCCAATTTCCTTTCCTCTATAAAAAAGCATCGCCCTCCTTTGTTCTCTAGACTTGTCTATGGTTTTAGCCATAGCTTGCCCCAGATTGTAATTCTCTGCTATTCTCAAAAAAACACCATTTTTTCGCTGGTAAAATGACTGACAGTGTTATCCGTAAAGTTAACACACCTCAGACTAAGAAGAAATTACTCCTTTTCCATCCCAGATTCATCAGTACCTTCTGTAATCGTCAGACTCATGAGTGCCAAAACCCTAGACTGTTGACCCCATCCTGGTTGGAAGCCTGTAATATTGCATTGTGTCAATAATCCAGAGAGCTTCAAAACTGCAAGCTAAGTTACAGGTGCAAGCCACACAAGTCTACTTCTGCCAGCCAAGCGATTAAAAACTTACAATGTTTGGTTCAACATTTGCTTTCCAAAAATTCTTCCTCCTCTTCCCCCATTTCCTTTTCTGGAAATAACTCATTATTGAAAATGTCATTGATTTGTATTTGTATGTAAACCTGGTTTGGCAAGTGGGGCTCAGAAAATTATCAATAATGAAAGAAGCTCATTTGAGATACCTCCTTCCACGTGGTGCTAATCTGCACGCGCCTTACTGTTCTCACAAGAGCGGGGGGCACATGGTTCGGGT